AAGGTGTTGAGCTTCTTTCCTTGGTGACTTCATGCTCTTGGAAGAGCTCCCACCCAAGTTCTTAGTTACTGGGATCCCCAGGTGAGATGAGGCTTTTCCAACCCTCTGCCTTTCCCAGTTCCCACATTTTGGTGTCACACTAGGATTTCTGCCACAGAGGTTGTTTCCCTTCCTGGAAAGAATAAATGTAGAATTAAACTCCAGCATATAACATGCAATTGGGAAAAGTATTTACAGGTAGCAAATTGCTGTAACCACACAAGGAAAACATGAGAAAATGGAAACAACGTGATATTTATGTTAATACAAAGTTTTAAAAATTTAATTTAAGAGACCAGCTGTTTCTGCTTCTCTTATAAGAGCTTAATTGGTATATAATAGCATAGTTAATTAAATACAAATCAATAGTTTAAACCAGCTAATTGATATTTAATATGTATGGGAAAATATAACTTAGTTGTAATATCATTAGCTCAATATTAAATAAGCAATGGAATTGCAATTATGCCTTTACAGTGATTATAAAGTTTATCGTTCTTTAATAAACTTGCAATTAGACAGGGTGAGCTGAAAAATTATTAAACAGGTATTATTGGGCTATTAAACATTTATTATCATTCCTGGTGGAATACAGCTACACAATAGTACACATTATGGTGTGTTAATAAACCCTTATTACTGCTTTGCAGCTTTAGCCCTTAGTGCACCGGTGATCAGAAACTTCACTCCCTCCCTGAGTTGAGAGTGGAGGAATTGCCTTGAAATTGCATGAGGAAATCCCAAACAATGGGAGAAATGAGGAAAAAGCAGGAGGACTCCATAGTTTGGACTAGCACTGAGAGATCTCCCAAAACAAACTTTTCCCCCAAATTCCTAGGCTGAATATTCTTTTATCGAAGACCCTGAGGTGTTGTTTCTTTTAATTGCCTTTTGCTTCATTATAAGTGGCAATATGTGGTGTGAACTTGCTTCTGCTTTGTCTGACAAGTGGCTCTTCTGCCAGTTAGAAGTTGCATTTATGCAGGTGCTTTTGAGTGAGTAAAAACATGGTTCTGCTAAGTGTTTTCCAACCAGGATACTTAAGCTCCCACTTCCCCATAGTGAATCGTAGAATCATAGAATTCAGGGGTTGGAATGGACCTTACAGCTCATCCAGTCCCAACCCCCTGCCCTGGGCAGGGACATCTCCTCACTAGATCAGGTTGCTCAAGGCTCATCCAGCCTGGCCTTGAACACTGCCAGGGCTGAAGCAGTCATAGCCTCCCTGGGCAACCTGGGCCAGTGTCTCACCACCCTCACAGGGAAAAACTTCTTCCTAATAGCTAATCTCATTTTCCCTCTCTCAATTTGAACCCATTGCCCCTTGTCCCATCACTGCAGTTCCTAACAAAGAGTCCCTCTCTGGCTCCTTGCAGGCCCTTCAGATACTGAAAAGTTGCTCTGAGGTCTCCATGCAGTCTTCTCTTCTCCAGGCTGAACAGCCCCAACTCCCTCAGCCTGTCCTCACAGTCCTCTTGGCAACTTCATGGCCACCTCTGGACTTGCTCCAACAGTTCCATGTCCTTCTTACGTTAAGGACACCAGAATTCAATGCAGTATTCCAGGTGGGGTTTCATGAGATGCCTGGGATGAAAAACTGCAACACTAGTTTTGACCTGCTGAGAAAATTCAATTGTTGCAGCAAGGAAAGGGATGGGATTATTTTGGGGGACACATATGGGTTGAAACCTTCTGGTTTCAGTGGGATCTCAGCAGCCCCCCTAAAACCAAGGCATTTAAAATTCTGGGTATCTGCTTACCTATTATAGCTTAGGTAGCCACTAAAAGCCATGAAATGGTGAGACAGGCATCAGAGTCATCTTGAAGTATTTTACCTTTTAAAGGCACTCTCAAGTATTTAAAGGTGCCTTTAGCTATAAAGATTTTTGCATGCTCTCACAAATTTATGGTATGAATTATTATAATGCAGTGCTTTTGTACAGCTCCTTTCATCATGGGATATCAAAGTGGTTTATAAGTGTTAATTATAGCACCCCTCAGGGAGGCAAATAGAAGATAGACACCCAGGCCAGTGCACGCTGATCCAGGTTCCAGATGGGAACATTTTATCTGTTTCCAGACCATGTAGCTCAGTCCTGGGCCTCCCTCTCTCCTCTAAGGGCTCAGCTGGGACTGGGACCTCTTGGGTAGCACAGCCCCTTGCTACAACATCCCTTTTGGGAGCATTTTGATTGCTGCAATGGGAAGGTGAGAGCTGGACATCTGAGTGGTGGGATAGTCATCCCCTCTAAGTAGACTGTAGCTATTGCTGCCTCCATCACTTTTTTGGCTTGGGATGCTCTGGGGCTGTCAATATAAGGAGGATGTGGATCTTCTGGAGCGAGTCCAGAGAAGGTCACAGAGATGCTCTGATGGCCAGAGCACTTCTGCTATGGACCCAGACTGGGAGAGCTGGGGGTGTTCAGCCTGGAGAAGAGAAGGCTCTCAGGACACCTCAGAGCTCCTTTCAGTGCCAGAAGGGGCTCCAGGAGAGCTGCAGAGGGACTTGGGACAAAGACCTGGAGGGACAGGACACAGGAAATGGCTTCCCACTGCCAGAGAGCAGGACTAGATGGGACATTGGGAAGGAATTGTTCCCTGTGAGGGTGCTGAGGCAGTGGCACAGGTTGCCCAGAGAAGCTGTTGTCTGCTCCATCCCTGGGAGTGTTCCAGGCCAGGTGGGATGGGTGGAACAAGGTCCCTTCCCACCCAAACTATTCCATGATTTTATGCTCTTGATGATGTTTGTGGTCATGGTCTGTGGAGACCATGGCAGCCCCAATCATGCCAGGTCTGTGTCCAGGCATCCACATACACATGTGTGTGCTGGAACATACAGTGCACATCTGGATCAGTCAGAGGAATGCTGGCTGGCTCAGCTCCGCTGTGGGCTGCTCTGCCTTGTGTGACATTGATCTAATTGTGTTGTTTTAATTACACTTTGATACCTTGGTGCTCCTGGAAGGCTCAATAGCAATCAATGAGGTTTTGTTTTCCTATCAATAAAGACATAAAGGCTCTCACCTGCTCTGCTGGCTCTGTGCAAACGGCCCCGGAGGCTGTGGGCAGGCTCACAGCTCTCTGCCACGTGCAGTGTCTGTTCTCACGGGCATCATGCAGCCCTCCAGGCAAACCTCACCCAACTTCTGCAAGGTCTTATCGATTCTAGTTATCAAACAGAGCTAAGGGAGGCAACCTGTGCTGAGTGTCCTTCAGCTGAACTAGCAGGTCCTTGCAGTCAAAAGTGTTGGAGGCATCCAAGGCTCTGCAAGTCAACACCTTTCTTACTGTGCAGATCATGGTAGATCACACTGCCTCCGTCCTGCAGAGCAAGGGGGCTGGTTTCCACCATCAGAGATGGACAATGGCTGCTCTTTACTCCTTCCTTAATTAGGACTCTGATTCAAGAAACCCCTGAGAGTTCAGATAGTTGATTCATCTGCCCTGATTTGTCTGATCTTTAGACATGTACGTCTGAGTTAGTCACTGCATTTTATGGCTAATGAGAGAGTTACAAGTGCCCCCAAAATCATCCTGGTAGGTGAGGTGAGTCACACTCCTCTCTGGGGCATTGCCTTCAGGGCAAGGCAGATTTAGGGGAGCAATTAAATTCCAGCTTACTCTGAGCATCTCAAGACTTACTTTTGTCTGAACATCAACTTTGGTGGGATTACACATCTGATTTATTTTGCTTAGATGCTGATGTCCTCCCTGGTGGGAGCCTTAGGACCAGGAGCTGTTGGTCCTTAGCTTCTTGCAAGCTGGAGCCCTGTTTAATGTTAGAGAAAGTGTTTTAACTTGTGTGTACCCTGAGTGTCCTGGGGTCAGAAGAAGTCTATTTTTTTCTGGGTTTAGGCTCAAATTCTGCTTCATCCTGTGCACAAGAGGATATAACCAAATGGGTTTAGGCTCAAATTCTGCGTCATCCTGTGCACAAGAGGATATAACCACTGTGCTGGGATGCCATGTCAGTGAGCACTGTTAGGGAGGGACACTGGTCTATACCCACATCACTCTGGGTGTCTTCCCTGCGCATCACATCGCACTGTGATGAGCAACATCCTTCTTCCTCTGGGCATGGTCCAGATCTGCCATTCAAACCCAAGTTTGTATCATGGCAGCACTAGAAGCCAAGGCTGCCAGGGAGCTCTTGCTCTGCTCTACAACCATCGCTGCTCTCTCCACCCTCTGCTTCACTGCCTTCCCTTCTCGGCGCTCCGAGCGCTCCTCCCGCGGCGGAGGGGGCTCTGCACAGTCCACAGCCACATTAAGTAAACATCAAAGGGGCTTTGATCAGCAGGGCTCTGCAGAGCACTGAAGCCCCCGAGGAGCTCTGCAGGTCCTCAGGCAGCATCGGGGACATGGTACCTTAATTTTCTGCACTGTGACACAGGAGAATTTGTTTGAAGAACGAGAGCTCTGCCGTTCCGCGACGCGCACGGGGACAGGGCGCGCACAGCCACTGCCGGAGAAACCCACGCTCAGATCTCTCTCTGTTTGTTACCAAGAGTCCCATTAAGAAATCAAGGCATCAAAGGCATGTGCCTCCTCAGATTCTGGCACTCTACTGCTCATGGGGTCACTTGCTTGCTTCTAAAGAGCAAGAGTCCTCAGGCCAGACTTATCTTCCCTCCTGAGAGCCATTTCCTGTTTTACCTTGCTACCTGCTGAGGAGAAGGGGGTCAAAGAGTCCATGTTGTTGCAACATGCTGCTGTGGAGGAAGACACAGCTTGTTCCCTCGCTTGGATTACAGGAGTGCTTAAGAAACAGGCAAGGGAGGGGATGGTGACCCTCCATCTCTAGATGCACGTGGCTTGGGAGCCCAGCAAAGGTCAGCTCTGTGACCAAAGACTTCAGTTACATGCCCACCTTGCTGACAGGTGT